GTATATAATATCACATAACATCAAATATAATACTCAAATATGATCACTATATTATTTTTAAAAAATTAATAATAACGTTATCATAATGCCAGTTTAATGCTTCTTCTTTTTCTTCTTCTTCTTCTTCTTCTTCTTCTTCTTTTTTTTTTTTGTAACTTTTATTTTATATTTAAACATAAAAATCACCATTTAAAAAAAAACAAAAAAAGTTAGAAATGATAATTCATTAAATAATTGATAATTTAATTTATAACTGTAGCAGGACTATTGTTTTTCCACTCTCTTCCTCTCCAACAATGAATTTGTTTTTTACTAACCCAAAAAATAAAACACTAGTTGACATGGGTGAATATTTGTCTATGTTCAAGGAATGGGATAAAAACACTTTCTAAAAAGTAATTCATGAAAATTTTGACTGGGACTCTTTGGACACAAAGGGCCAACATATATTACCTTAAATTAAATAAATAAAAGCCCCCAAAAAAAAAAATGACAAAAGGGCTATCTTGAGGATCTTGGTGTTGCCTCTAGAGGCAGTATTATTAGGGATTCAATCTTATTCTTTCATAATAAATTTTGTCACACGGAAAATTAATAGTAACTCAGTTAAATTATAAATTAACAACATTTCATTAATTCAAACTTAAATATATACACTTGGTGGATGGAAAATTCTATTATACCCACCATTTTTAAGTGTATAACATATATGTCCCTCAGTGTTTGTGGTTTTTTATTATGATATATTATAGTATTAGTTATGATTTGATTATAAACAGTTATACATATTTTGGTATTAGTTATAACTTATTGTGATATTAGTTATGATATTATTGTGGTTATAATTTAACTTTCTGTTTGGTTGGGGGAATTTAGAGAAAGATTTAGAAAGAAAAATGGAAAATGTGTATGAAACTAGGTAAAATATAAGTATGTTGTATTCACATTTTACTTACCTTTTTCATTTCTCTTTTCAAATCTCTCTTCAAATCCCTTAACCAAACACAATATAAAAGATTTTTGGTTATACCTTATGTAATGTTTGGTTATTTTTTTTTATTATTTTAGTTCATAACTCTAAAATGATTCAATTATAATATTTGTGATAATAAATTCCACAAATAATATTACATATTTTGAAAATATGTACCATAAAATGAATATATGTATGTAAATATCTATGGTACATCTTTTACTTGTGTTTCAAAACAAAGTATATTGTGCATTTATGTTGTACTAAATGTTTTCATTAAAAAACATATGATCTTACGTCAAGGTTAGTTAAGAGTTTATAAAATTGAAAAAAGTCAACTATACAATAATAAAGATTATGAAATGTTGATTGATGTGAATGTACAACCACCATTACATATGTACAAATGTATATTTAAAATTATTTTGAGTAGAAAATTACCTAAAATATTGAAAAATGTTATGAGTCTTAAATAATTTATTAAATTTTTTACCAAGCCTCTTATAAGGGTGTAGAACACACACGTATAAAAAGTTTAGTAAAAAATTTAATAAATAATTTAAAATTTGTAACATAACTCTAAAATATTAAACCTATCAATTTTTCTCTTTGAGTAAATATGCTGTTAATGGTTACAATTATAGTTACATGAGCTGTGATTGAGGCCTCGAAATTGAGAAAAAAAATAAAATATATAATTTTATATTAAATAATTAAAAACATAAAAAGATATGAAAATTTATGAATAGCTTGAAGGATAATCACGTGATGCCTAGTCACGTGTCTAGCATTGACTAGTAATTTTTCTAGCTTTAGCCTTTATTAACTGACATATTTCACATGTTTTTGCTTTTTATTTTTCGGTTCCGCTAGGTAGCTCGAATTTGGAGGCTCGAATTCGGAGAAGAAGAAGAAGGAAGAAGAAGAAGAAGAGAAGGAGGAAGGAGGGAAGAAGAGGAGGAGGAGGAGGATTGGAGGGGGCATAATCACAGGGGGAGGAGGAGGCGGAAGCGGGGCCGGAGGTGACGGCGGTGGTGCTACGACGATCGCTGGTGCTGCGACGATCAGCGGCGGTGAGGCGACGGCGGTGGTGCTGCGACGATCTCCTCTCCTCCTCTCTCTTTCTCCCTCTCTCCTCCTCTTTCTCTTCTTCTCTCTTCTTCCTCTGCTCTTCTCCTGTGCTCAACGAAGAAAAAGAAGAAAAGAAAGAAAGAAAAGGAAGAGAAAGAAAAGGCAGAAAAAAAAATTGAAACCCAAAACGACGTCGTTTTGAATTTTGAGCCAAATTTGAGCCATTAATTTCGGGCCCTCAAACATTATTCGTTACATATTGGCTACTCATCATCAGTATACGGACTTCATTGTGTTGTGGTGCTTATCGTATTCACCACTATGCCTAATTTAATAATAGAGTTTAGTTCATATTTTGGATCTATGCTTGGTTAGGTTTGACAATCATTTTTTTTTTAATAACTATTTTATATTTAGTAAATTTTTTTTAAAAATTAATTTTTTATTTTTTTATTTTTAGATCTTTCTAGACTAAACAGACTTAAAAAGTAAGAAAAAGAATTCAGAAAAAAAGTCTTTTAAAGAAAAAAAACTGAAATTTGTTTTTTAGTGATTTCTTTTCTAGGTCACTTCTTAATCATTCTAAATTAGACTGACCTAAAAAATAAGTTGATTTCAATAATTAACAACAAAAAATTAAAAAAAAAAAGAAAGAAAGAATTAAAAGGTGAATTGGCAATTGTCCATTGTCTCTTCCAATACCATTGTGAAAAAGTAAATTGAAGTGACCTCAATTTTCACACATAAACGAGTAATTTAAATATATATATATATATATATATATTTAAAGTCATACATACGATTCATTTGTTTGATAATAAATTATGTGAATATAATATTAAATTGGGTAATTACAAAAAAATTAGTGTTTGACTCATATAATAAAATAAATCTTAAATTTTTTATTTTGTCAATTTAAATTCTAATATTTTGATTTATTTTCAATTTAAATCATTTGTCTATTTTCATTAGGTAAAATTGATAGAAAAATAATATTTTATCCATTAAACTCAGTATAAATATACATAAAATGTTAAAAATATCAATTTTATTAAGTTTGATGACTAAAATATAATTTTTTATTAATTTTACTTAACAAAAATAGACAAATAATTTATATTGAAAACAAATTAAAATATGAAGATTTAAAGATGAAAAGTTAAAAATATAATTACAATAAAAATGGTAGAGATTTCAAAAATACTATTAAATTTTTTATTAAATACTTATACGGGTGTCGGACCCACATTAACGTTGATCTTACAACCATATAAATTTTGAGTTGTGCTACGTAGCTCGAAAAGAGTTGCCCCTGAATCTCCCAAATCCAAAAATGACGTCGTTTTGCCATTTGATTTTTTATTTTTATTTTTCAATCAGAAAAGAAGAAGAAGAAAGAAGAAGAAGAGAAGAAGAATGAGGAAGAAGAAGACAGCTGCGGCGGGCGGAGGCAGAGCTCTGCTCTCCCAGAATTTTGACAGCTTAAACCCTAAAAATAGCAAACGACACACTTTATAATAAACAGATTCACTTCACCGCTTGAGCGCACACTTCACCGCTTGAGCGGTATGAATAAAGGCGGTGCAAAACATATAAGTCGACCCCTCAAGTACAACATTCACCGCTCGAGTGGTAAAACTTGCTTCCTAGAAGTTCAGTTTATAAGTAAAAATACTAGATGCTCCTATTCACCGCTCAAACACAAAAATGGTTGTTCGAGCGGTCAAACAACTTTGGTTTTGGGGGCGTTGCCCCTTGACCCCGCTTGGACGCTGCCTCCTTGTACATAATCAGTGAAGTGACAAATACAAACACAATTCAAGTTGGATTCGCATCTAAACACTCATAGTTTCACTGAAACAATAAAGAAAATAAAATTACAATTGAAAAAAATTTTATCAAACGGGATTGCTAATTACAAACACTTAATAATATTGAAAGACTGTGAGAGTGAAAGAGCGGTGGCGAGGCTGCGACGATCTGGCGGAGGCTGCGACAATCGGGCAAAGGGCTGCGACGGCTGCGACGACCTGCCTCCTCTTCCCCTCTCTTCTCTTTTTCTCTCTCTCTCTTCTCTTCTCTTTCGGGCTGTTCGGGGGCACGAAATTGTGGGGAAAAATCATTTTTCATAAATTTTTGATAAAAAATTTAATAATTTTCTTAGAGTCCCTTGCACTTTTTTTAATATTTCACTATATTTTATTAATAATTACACAAATAATTTTTAAGATAAATTATAAATACATTATTTTAAATTTGATTAAAATATGAATCACTTCTATAGTTCTTGAAATTACATTTCACTTTCTAAGATTTCAAATTTCATAACAAATTGTTTCTTTTATTAATAAATCATCAAGTCAATTAACTGTTTTTAATGATATTAAAAATATATTTCAATTAATAATTTAGATAATTTTATAATTTTTTTAATTAATTCTATTAAATAAAAAATTATAACAAAAAAATATTTATAATTTTTTAAATTACAAATAATAATTATACTAAAGCAAAGCTCAGATAGTGTATTTATATTTACCCTAATTTTTAAAAATAAAACCGATGTCATCATAAAAATTGGGCCAACGATAGCCATACTAAGAGCATCTCCAACGGTGTACCAAATGTTTCACCAAATCTGAGTAAAAAATGGGTCATTTCTTTAATTTGATACTTCGCGCTCCAACGGTTCAACATCAAATCCGTTTCATCAAATTTGTGCTGGGCGACCGGTTGGTTGACCGGCCGGTCGACCGGTAACAGCAAAAAATTTTTTTTTTTTTTTTACCGGTTAAAAAATACTACTGAAAAAAAAAAAAAATGCTTCGAGACACGTATCTGGAAAAAAAGCCTCGAAACCGACAAAAATCAGCGTGGCGCAGCCGTAAATTTTCACTAAAACCAAGGTTGTTCTCCAACGCTCCCTTTTTCCTGATTAATGTTGGCGCATTTTAGCACAGTCCCCTCTCTGCATCTCAACAGAATCCCCAATCACCAGAAAATCGTAGACGAAGAAGAAGAAAAGAGAGAGAGAGAGAGAACCAGTGAAGAACACGACGACCTCACCAACCCTAACCAACACCAGCACACACAGAATCACAGAGTCTACAAAACACATCTCTCTCTGTTTCTTCAATCATATACACAAATTCTCATATATATATATATATATATATTTGTGATCTTCATATTTGAGCTGAAATGGAGAAAGTCATTGCAAACTACGAGCTCATAGCTTGCGGCATAGTGTAGATTCTTCTTAAAAAAAACAGTGTTTCCACTTTCTCTCTCTCTCTCTCTCTCTACAGTACCTTTTTCTCTCTCTAGAATGGCTTGCCGAAGGATGAGTGCGGGGAATTTGGATCCGGAGAGGAAGAGGAGTGGGGGTCTCAGGACCAAACAGGCGGGACGAGGCTCGTGTCGTGGAAGTTAGGCCGGAGTAGCAGAGTCGCCGGAAAATGCTTGATCTCCGGCGCTGAGATTTACGCTATATCTCTTTGTATTTCTCTCTCTCTCTCTCTCTCTCTCAATCTCTATATCTATATCTCTCTTCGTGCGTTTTGACTGTTTCATCTGAGTTTGAGCCATGGGGTATCTTTTGAAAGAAGCTTTGAAGACTCTCTGTGGCGTCAATCAGTGGTCTTATGCTGTTTTCTGGAAATTCGGTTTCAAAAACCCTACGTATGTTCATTCTTATCTTTCTAATTTATTCTGATCTATATTACCTGCAAATGAATCTCTGCTTGGTTACTCAGAAAATGGAGGGAAAAAAATTAGGGAAACTCTATTTGCACACCACTGAAAAAATCTCAGTGCATTATTTGTTTGGACATGAATTTCGGAATAAAAGTCAAATATTTGGACATGTCTTCTGATAAAAAAAATAATTGTTCAAATATACATTCAGTTCAACTACTTTGTTCGGAATTTGTGTCCGAACATTTAATTTTGGTCGAACGGCATAAATGTGCGAATAGAATTGCCTAATCTGATCTGACTTCTATTAACTTCATGTTTATCTCTGTTTGGTTGCTAAGAATATGGAGGAAAGGGGGGATACAATGAAACTGTGTCTGTCTCTTGTGATTGCTGTTATTGTTATCCGTTTGCATGTTATCTGATCTTTAATTTTTAGAATTCTGTGCAGACTTTTGTTTGGTTACTGAGAAAATGGAGGGGTAAGAAAGAAAAGTGAAAATGGGGTCTAATGATTTTTCTAGTTTAGGTTTTCCAAAAAGTGAACTCTATTCAACTAGGAAACATGGTTGTGTTAGGTCCGGTTGAGTTACTGTAATTGTTCTTAGTTAATAGGTATGTGTTGAAGTTTCTAAGACTGATATCTTTCGAAGATATGATTTGACATTCTATAGTTTTATTAGGCGTTGGTGTCTATCTTTGCATTGTAATATGATGTCTTTTATTTCCTGTTTTTAGGGAGACAACAATATGCTCAATAAAACTAGTGATTCTGACTTTATTTTGCTTGTTTGATCTTGTATGTCCTTACTTTCCTACTTCCAAAAGGTTCTAAATTTTTCCCTCATTTCTTTCCTTCAAAAAGCAAGTATTAGTATCATCTGCAGATCTATAGCTTTCAGTGTCTGATTTTTATTTTTATTTTTATTTTTTATCACAACTTATTCGAGATTGTGCGTGTTTGAAATTATGTTTATTGAGTTTTGATGGTTTTGATTTTCAGGCTTTTAATCTGGGAAGATTTCTATTACGAACCTATGCCATGTTCTGCTCTTCCTCTCAATTCTGGAATTAAGAGCTCAGAACTGGCTTTTCGAGAGTGGGAAGAGTGCTGGGTTTCTTCTGAACCTCAATCTCATCATGTTGGGGTTCGAGCAGAGGACAAAGTCCCTTCACTTGTAAACAAAATGATGTTGGGTAACCGGGTTCAAGTTGTAGGACAAGGGTATGGTTTTATTTTATTCTTCTATTCTACTTTTTTTTTAATATGGTAAATGCTATTGTGTGTTGGATGGAAAAACCTACGCTGTAATAGATATAACCATTTTTGTCAAATCGTGAATCGATTAGTGAATTGCTGGCTAAAATAGTGAATCGTGAATCATAAGATTCACCTTATTTAATGTAGTATATAATTGTATAAATGTTTATGCACATAAAAGTACACATAGTGTTTAGAATAGAAATATCAAATAAATCACATATTAATATATACCCAAGGTTTTAAAAAGCGGCTGCAACCGTTACGTAATGCTGTTATGTAACGGTTTTGAAAGTTACGGCCGCTTTTGCAGTGTGATTGAGATTCACAGGTGTGTTGGCCGTAGCAGCTGCCGTAGCGGTCGTAACAGTGCTGTAACAGCCATAACGGCCTGTTACGCACCGTTACGTAACAGTTCCAAATTGTTTCTTTCGAAAAAACACACAAAAAAAAACTGAAAATGGGGAAAGAGGGATAGAGAGAAGAGGGAAGATAAAGAGAGAAAATGGAGGAGCAAGAGATAGAGAGAGAGAAGAGGGAAGATGAAGAACATGTTATTGATTTGTTGAAACTGTAAGACCTATGCTATTCTATTCAGCTGCTATCACTAAACCATTTTGTTTGCGTGTGTCTATCTATATATTGTTTGAAAATAATAATAATAATAATAATAATAATAATAAGTGTGGTCATTATCTATTTGGCTTAGTTAAAATATGTATGTATATATATATATATATTTAGGCTCTTATTTATTCTTACTTTTATCATTGTTTATCTTATATATAATAGTTAGTGATTGATTTTTTGTATAATATAAAGTCCTAAGGAGCACGGACACTTCTAAGAAGGTAACGTATCCGTGTCGTATCCGTGTCGGACACCGACACTCTTTGGACACTTTCCCGACACGTGTCCGACACTCTTTAAAACGTGTCCTATTTTTTAAAGACCCGGACACTCTTTGTACACTTGGAGAATACATGTGTATCTCTTAAACACACGTGTCTATCAATTAGACACATGTGAAACCAATTATAAGTTTGAACAAAACAACTATGTAAAAAACTCAGTTTATAGTGATTTAAAAATATGAAATATATTGGATCATACTTAAAAATTTATAAAAATTGATCAATATTTATTTTTAACCCAATAAATATGATCATGGAAAAAAAATATGCGTATCGGTAAGTTTTTTTTAAATTGTGCGAAAAATAAAAAAATTCACGGTTTTGGTTATCGCAACCGTTACACTACTGCCTTTACACCCCGCAACCGCAACTGCGTCACCGCCACCGTTACGGCGACCGCAACCGCTTTTCAGAACCTTGTATATAACTAATTGATCTCTCAGTTTTTTTCTTGATAGAGAGGCAAAAACAAGGTCATTTTATGCATTAACTTTAATTTTTGGTTCAACAACATGATTTGAATCAAGTAGGTTGAAGCTCGTATCAAATCATATGAATTGAATCGTGTATCATACAAGTCTAATAAACATGCCTATGATAACTGTTATTTGCAATTTTGTTTTACAGACTAGTTGGCCGGGCTGCATTTACTGGTAACCATATGTGGATTCTTTCAGAGAACTATACTACAGAAACCCATCCACCAGAGGTATTTTGTAGAATGTTGGTATGAAAATATATATGTCTAAGTAAATGAAGATGCCGTACATACCCTCTTGGTACGTGGGCGTGTACATTTTGCATTCTCATGATAGACTAGTAAAGCACAAAAGAACATAAGGGGAGTTTTGGGGAAAATTGAACTGATTTAGCTTTAATTGCTTCATCTTTTAGAACCCTTTGTTTATTTACATATTTATTTTACTTTTATTATTTCAAGTTGGTTTATATAGTTGGAGAGGTATAACAGAAAGATGTTAGAGACTAAATATTGAAACAGTTCTTTAGCTTAGAAATTTTTTTTATGGTAATACAATCTTTTGAGGAAGTCTAGAGGATTGTTAAAAAGTGTTATGTAGTATCTGAACTTAATATGACTTCAGTTTTCATGGCTGCTTTTAGGTTCAAAATGAGTTGTGGCAACAACTTTCAGCCGGCATAAAGGTATGATAACTTCAACTGTGCAGCTGTCTAGAATGCTTGTTATTTTGCTGGTCCATCTCTGAACTTGTTCTTGGTTTGCAGACAGTCGCAATTATTCCAATCCTTACTCATGGTGTTGTTCAACTTGGTTCATCCTTATCTGTAAGTCATTTATTTCTTCTTTCTTTCATCTTCTCTTTTCTTTTTGGATGCAAGTCCTTTTGCTCATATGTTCTAATGCTTATATATTTGAGAAGTCATGTTATGCACATGTTTATATCTTGTGAGGTTCTGTTTCATTGCCTGTTTGGTGCCAGCAAGATGTTTGAGTTAACTTTTTACATAAGTTCAACTCAGAAATCAAGCATTTCTTATCTTATATGTGACCATTGAGACTGTACAACAAATGGGCAAACTCTTGGGTTGGTTGGTTTGGAAGTCAATGTTTTACTATGCTAAAAAATAAATAAAGTCAAAGTAGAATTTTTAGTAGCCCAAAACTATGCATTTTGTCCCGATGTTTTTTAGTTCTTTTTGGCCAAATCTCTTGTTGGTTGTGCAGCCCTGAGTCTTTGATTCCCCAAGTGGGTGAGGGGAGTTTTAGGTTTTGAGTCATTGATGCACTTTGTCTCACTGTGACCAGCATTGGCAGTAACATGGAGTTGAAAAGTGTCTTTTTTGTAGTTATGTTCTATACGTTCTCTTATCGTCAATGCTGTCTTGATTTGGTTACAGTGCTAAAGAAATTTACCAATTTTTCACGATCAAGTTCTCTGAAAATTTTGCTATCTTTGCTTCCTCAGATTATGGAGAATGCGGCATTTGTGAATGATGTCAAGAGTTTAATTCTTCAACTAGGATGTGTTCCTGGTGCTCTATTATCTGAAAATTATACATCAGGAGAACCTGCTCCAAAGATTGGAGTACCCATATTTCATAGAAGGTCTGTTTCTGCTGGCCCATCTGGGAATCGTAACGTGGAAGACTCTGTTCCTTCCATTGCTGGCAGCTGCAACCAACAAAGTATCCAATCTCATGCTTCAGAGTTTGTTGGTCAGCCTTCTTATTCTATAGTTAGAATGATACAAAATAACCTACATGGTACTTCTTCATCAGGGATTAAACCAAGCTTTCCTTTCAGTAGCCAATTTGAAAATGTGGAAACAGGAGGTGGATTTATCCCGTTGAACCAAGAGCTGTGGCTGAATCATCAGGCTTCTTTGTACAATCACAAGTCTGAATTCGATGAACAAACTTGTGCTGGTCTGTCATCTGGAAATTATAGCAATTTAAGAATAATGGAAGAGGAGATATTGTCAGATGCTATCCTACAAGAGCATGTTAACAACAGTTTAAGCACATCCAATGACAATATAATGTCTCAGCTGAGAACAAATGGAGGGTTAAGTTCCAATGGAGGTCAGTTACATAATGCAGCCAGAAATCAACCGAGATCAATTTCAAACTCGTGTTCTCTTCCAACTGTGCACAGGTCAGCTAGCGTTGATATCTCTTCCAGACATCTTGCAAGGAGTGGGCCAAATGCTGGTTCATCTAAGACGGAGGTATCTACATCTGATTTGACAGATCATTTGACATCCAATCAATTGCTTTTGAGGAGCTCTGATTTCAAGCACAATTCTAAAATTGGCAAGTGTTCTCAAATTGAGGTGGCTCAGGGAAAAGAAAGAATAGAAAATGATTTGTTTCAAGGCCTTGACATCCCATTGGCCCATCTGGATGAGCGCACAAAATTGAGTGAGAACATTTCTGGTTTTGATCACGATAGCCTAAAGCATGACTACCGCACTCCAAGATCAAAAAGTGCCAAGACTGAGAACAAGTGCGTCCAACCATCATCAGGGGATGACCTATTTGATATTCTGGGTGTGGATTTTAAGAACAAACTAATTGATGATAGCTGGAATAATTGTCTTAACGGTGGGCTAGACACAAGGAAAAAAACCTTGAATAAGAATAATTTTACATCTTTGAATCTTCGGGATGCCGATGCTGAGTTATATTCATTAAATGGAAGAAACTCAGATTGTGGTATTTTTAGTATGTCTGGCACTGACCATCTGCTAGATGCAGTTGTAAATGGGGTCCACACTGCTGCCAATCAGAGCTCAGATGATAATGTGTCTTGCAGGACAACAGTGACAAAGATTAGTAGCTTGTCTGTTCTTAACACTTCCTCCTCCCATGGCCGAGTTAGTGTGTCTGATCAGATTCAAGAAAAGTTACTGGGACTTCCGAAGTCTCAAGAAAAATTAGCTCCATTAGGATCTTGTTCCTTCAAATCCGAGTGCAGCAAGGAAGATCCAGGAAACTATTCCCAAACCAGTTCCATTTGTGGATCTCAAATCAGCTCATGGGTTGAACAGAGTCATGGTATGAAGCACAACAGTAGTGCTTCAATTGCACATCCTAAGAGGCCGGATGAAGTAAGCAAATCAAATCGCAAAAGGCTTAAACCCGGAGAGAACCCTAGACCCAGGCCAAAAGATCGCCAGATGATCCAAGATCGTATGAAAGAGTTGAGGGAAATAGTACCTAATGGGGCAAAGGTGATTTCTCTTTTATTATCTCCAGCTTTTTCAAATACTTTTCATGTTAAAATCTTGTTATGTTCTGTACTGATCTGCCCTTTTTTATATATTATTTAACAGTGTAGCATTGATGCACTGCTGGAACGTACAATTAAGCATATGCTTTTCCTGCAAAGTGTCACAAAACATGCTGACAAGCTAAAACAAACAGGAGTGTCCAAGGTGTGGAGAGTAATACTCTTTAATGCATTTCTATAATTGCTACTTCTTATCACTGACTCAGATTAGAGTTGGTTCGCATCATTGTGGCAAACTTTCTCAAGCATTGGTGGTTGGACTTTTGGAAATAGGACAAGGGCGTTATGGAAAGAGGAGAAAATGTGGTCTAAATTTTCTTAAATATACCTGGTCATAGGGGTGTAACTAGAAGTGTGATGATTCAATTTGTTTAAAAAATTTTTTTTTAAACCAAAAAGAGAGAGAGAGAGAGAAAAAAAAGGTTTACTGTTTAGAATTTTGAATCACTTGAATAATTTCTATTAGTTGGTGATATGCCATTTTATATCTTGCACTACAGAAAATTATTGAGTTGAACTAAACAAAGCTTAAGTTATGTGAGCCTTATTATGTTGTTACATCAAATTGCAGGTTATCAATAAGGACGGTGGGCCACTATTAAAAGACAACTTTGAGGGAGGCAGAACATGGGCATGTGAAGTTGGTTCTCAATCTATGGTTTTCCCTATCATAGTTGAGGATCTGAATCCACCTCGTCAAATGCTTGTGGAGGTAGTGACTTGCATCATTTGAATGACAAATATGAAGCTTTATCCTTGCCTATGTTTATTATCTGATTGGGTACAACACACTCTTGTTATACTTAAAATCTTTCTGTAGCTATTTTTGTACTGTTAAATGTGTTATGTTTCTTGTGATAGATGCTCTGCGAAGAACGCGGTTTGTTTTTGGAAATAGCTGATATAATTCGAGGATTGGGATTAACCATACTGAAAGGGGTGATGGAAACTCGAAATGACAAGGTCTGGGCACGCTTTGCAGTAGAGGTAAAACCTATCAAGCGTACTAACTCCATTTGTTTCATTTATGCTTCTCATAGGACATGAAGTGTTTTACTTGCCAAGATTTTCGTGGTTAGGATACAAAATGGCAAGTAGTATTGGTCCCTGATGGCATGCAAACAGTTTTTGGCATTTGAATATATTTTTGGCAACTTAATTCACCCCCTGCGGCCACCAATATATCATTCCGTGTCCTTCACTCCTTTTATTATTCAATATGTTTCTCTAGAAATTTAATGTATGGGCACCCAGTTATGAGAAAATTGTCTTAAAAGAAAACTATAACATCTGGATTTTCTTTTTATTGACATGCTTAGAGTCATTATTATCACTATGTTCGTTAAACTACTTTAATAGCTAATTTCTTTCTGAAAGTACTACTTTTGTTTGGTTGCTACTTGATTGTTTGTTTGTTTGTTTGGTTTTTTTATTTTTTTTAATGTGTTAATTTACCTTTGAATTAGTAAGTTGTTTATCATCATTAGATCCTTTATTGGTCCTTAGATTAGTGGGTTCTGTTGAGCCATGTAATCTTCTTCTTTTTTATATCTTTAGTGAAGAAAAGTTGGTCACTTTATAAGACCTTTCTTTTGGAACAATAATTAAGAGAGAGGATTCATGCATAGGGCAAAAACTAGTTGTAAAGATGATGGTTGAGTTTGGGACAATCATCTCTCTCTCTCTCTCATTTATTCATGTTTTTTTGTAAGGAGAATGTTTTGGTGTGATTTTTTGTGGGTATTTAATTCCAGAATATTTTAGTTGTATTAGTTCTATGAGCCGTTCTCATGTAAGCCAGGAAGGTTTTCTCCTTATTTTGCATACCAAAAGCATTTGAAATTTACACGGTTCTCTTTCATACTTGTGTTTAATATTTAGTTCTTTTACACAGGCTAACCGGGATGTCACAAGGGTGGAAATATTCATCTCTCTCATTCAACTTTTAGAGCAAAGTGTTAAGAGCGGCGCAATAGCATCAGGCAACACCATAGAGAACGACAATATGATTGTCCTCCCGTCTTTCCAACAAGCAGCCTCCATACCCGTAACCGGTATGCCTCATAGTTTGCAGTGAGCCGCACTCTTTAGTTTTAGTTTTCTGGTCTGGATGTGTTGAGAGCAAGCCGTGTTTCGGCTTGCCATGACTAACATGATCCCAGACTGATTTATTTCAGGCACTTGTAACTCTTAACCGACATTCTTCTCCCATGACCACCGAAGTATGATTGGCCTCGTTTGAAAGTGGGAGAGATTGCTTTAGGTAATGATTAGTTCCCCAAGAACTTGTGTGTTGCTTATATCTCTGCTCTATTTTTCCATTTTCCTCGTTGTTTCGCCAGTAATTTTATACACTCTGAGGTGGTAGCACAAACCTGTTTGTTGTGGGTTTGTTTATGTATATAAAATATGGGACATAAAATGAAGGTGAGATGTGTATTTAGCTGACTTTTTTTTCCTTTAAATTTTTATTTAGATTTTTTCTTCATCTCTTGATTAGAATGCAGAAGTAGAGGTGTAATCGGTTCGATTCAGGTGGGATTGAGGAAAAAATAAGCACTAACTTGAACCTTTAGTTTTATTGGTTGAGCGACTGGAATTGTTCACATGTGATGGTTTAGTGCTCGTTTGGTTAAGATTTTGGGACTAAAACAAGACAAAAATACATAATAAGTTATATAAATCAATAAGATAAAATATTATTTTTTATCCATATTCATTATACATTTTCTTTTAGAAAAGTCAAAAAAGTTTCAAAACAAAAACCAAACGAGGTTAAAAAAGTCTCAGATTAAAAGAGTTAGCTATATTAGCCTGTGTCAAATGGTCCCTTGGTTTTGTTGGTTTTTTAGTTTGGTGTAAAGGAGGGAGGGAGAGCAATCTCTTTTTCTTTTCTTTTCTTTTATTTATTTTTGTATTTTTGTATTTTTTAACTTTTAATTTTCTTTTGTTGGAAAATTAGAAATAAAAAAATCAAGATTTGGCCCTTGTAATAAATCAACCTTTAAATTTTTAGGCTGTGTTTGCCAAATACATTTCCACCCCCTTTTATGAGTGTGTTGTTTGATTTGAGTTTTCAAATTATAATTCTACACTTATTTTTGAAAATTCTTTTTCAGGCAGGAAAATTTGTCTAACCTGGTCGTCCTTTTAGACTTCTGGCCGGTTAATCGGAACAGTGTGTGTGTGTGTATTTTTTTTTTGGCACTTGTTATTTTTATATTGTAAATAAAAAATATTTTCATAATTTTTGTTAATTTTTATGAGCTTTGAATAAAATTTTAAGTTGTATGTTTGGTTATGAGTTCTAAGTTTTTTAATCAAATAACTTTTCTAATTTCAAAAATTCAAAATTTTTTCTAAAACTCAATTCAAAACTCTTTTCAAAACTCATAACCAAACAAATTTTTTACATTTAAATCATAATTTAAGAACTCACAAATTCAAAATACAATTCTATTATCAAATCATATTTAAAAAAAAATTATCAAACGTTACCTTAATTTTTTCAATTTAAACTTTAATTTTTTTAATTTGATATCAATCTCAATCATTTGTTTATTTCTATTAAGTTGAATTAATAGAGAAAGAAATTTTAGGCATTACATTCTTTATTTTATAAAACTGTTTATTATAATTTTATACTTAAAAACAAATTAAACTCTAAAATGATCCACCAAGGATTCAATCCAAAGCTCATCTATGTAAATGTTGAAAACAGCCCATAGGCATCATTCATTTCGAAGATTTAATTTCGAAGATTTAATGACAGAATAAAAGTGTAGGGTTTAAATTAAAAATATAATGTTTAATTTGCTAGAAGGACAAAATGTTTTTATTTATTCATTTATTTTGCTCAGGTACATTTGTCATGATAATTATCACTGAAAAATGCACACGACATTTACTTCATGCATTAAAACTTGCATGTATAATGCTTTTCAAAATAAAATCGACGGGCAGAGAGCCAAGATTCAAAGAGGGGTAAAAAGGTCTCGTCAATGGGGTTGGGTCAGATTTTGACAATTTAAATAATTATTAAAATACAATTTAATTGTAGAAATCAAAATTATAAGACATCATTGATTGTGTTAATTTAGGCATGCAATTCATTTTTCATAGGTTCATATAATTATTTGAATATTATTCAATGCATTTTAAATCTATAAAATCTTACAAGTGGAGATAGAATTAGAAGCCATATAAGAGATCAATATCTTTTCTCTAATAAAATTTCTTTACTTTTAACTATTTTTAAAAATAATATATAATTTAATGACCATCAAGTAGATTATATTCCATTATTTATATTTTGAAGGACGATCCTCATACTGAGTGATTTTTTTTAATTTTTTTTGATAGAATGACAAATCAAAATCTCCCTTATATTTAATGCACAAGTTTCTCAATATATATATATATATATATAAATTGCACAAAATCTGATAATAAAACCAAACACAACCATGAAATGAATCCCAACTCATGAAATATTTGTATCCAAATCTTTGATTGAATCATGTACCCTTAAAAAATTTCATTAATAGTATTTTTTTTTTCTTTTCATTTTTGTTGTAGATCATTTCTCAAACATACGTAATTTGGCACCAATGGTAGGCAAGGACAAATAATAAGACCAAAATGAAAATCAAATAAGAAGTACTCAAGATTAAAGGAGACATATCAAAGAGCTAAAATTGTAGTCTTCATTTGACTAAACTGAATATGAACAGATACAGAACTATTTCTTAACTGTTTAGGCAGGGCTTTAGATCAACATATAAATAAATAAAGAAGGCAGTTATATTACACAAATACATACATACATATATGTGTGTGTGTGCGCGCGCGCGCGCATGTGCGTGTGTGAAATTTCTAGCAACATAATAGCACCAACAATCTCATTAGTTTATGATGCAAATAGCAAAATATTCATGGATTCCTCTCTTATTGGTCTCAAGTTTCTCTTCAAAAAGAAAAGACAAGTACAGACAGATAGCCAACCATTGCTTTAGCAATTAATGGGCCTATTGAGCACATTTAAACAAAAACATGAAGATGGAAAGACATTCCAAAACAGGGGCCACATTTTAATGCTTTAACAACATTTGAAAATATATTGACAGGGTTTCCACAATCTAGCTGGAAAACAACCCAGAATAACCTTCATTTAGCAACAAGCAAAGAACACTGAACATATTAGAGAATCCCAAAAACTTCACAATGATATGGTAAAATGCAAGACCACAAAGTAAACAAATACGCTTTTAAATAATTATGCATGAATTGCATGTCTATAAGGCCTAATTTATTGCTTATTAATAAAATGAACAAGAAAAGTGTAACTCGACTTAACTCAAGCAGGCCAAATGACACTACTAGGCTTGCTCAAACTCAACATTTCTTAAATTTCTCAGTTTCCAAATATCTCATGTCTTCTCATCTCTTACAGATTCTAGTATTGATTTCCCTATGCTATGCAATAAGCATGAATCCAAACCTTCCGTCGGGGGGAGGGGGGGGAATAGTTCAACTACGAACTCTGCGACCAAAACAAGCAATAAGCTTCATATATATATATATATATATACATACAATACACTTGAGAGACATATCTTAGAGTTGAATGAACAAATTTAAAATACTAGTAAAAAGCAATGTCTTGCGCTCTGTTTGGCAAAACGAAAAAACGAATTCAACATTGAAGCCAAAAAAAAAAAGAAAAAAAAGAGAGAAAATCCTGTAAAACAGAGCACAGACCACAGCTTGGAGCTTTAAAATCTTGATTTTCGATCAAAATCTCCAAAAACAAAGTATAAAATCAAATGCTAATGAAGGACTGGTTTTGCTTTTTGTGAAGAAGATAATCCCAAAATGGAAATCAAATTTTTAGTTGATGAAAAAATATGTGATTTTGATTAAGTTTGCATAAATGTGCTTTGACATATCTTAACTTACCTTTTGGATCACGGTGACACTGAAAACATTCATTTTTGACCTGGCCAAACTCGATTGAGCTCTTTAATGGCGGTGTATAAACTAAAGCAGAGATCGAATGAGCTTGAAATTGGTTTACTTAAAGCAGAGATTGATAAGGCTAAGCTGTTGACGAAGGACACAACACCACGCTTCAAGCCCCTGAACTAGTGTTCTGTGAAGAAGAAACTGAATTTACAAACATCAACATAAATACATTCTAGATTGTTACTTTTTAGCCATAAAACTACACAGATCTTCGGTGAATTCAATTGTAAATTAAAGTATAACGCAACGGGTAAAAAATTCAGATCATACCTTACGTGATAGAACCTGAAGCGAATAATCTCGTGGGTAAATCATGTGCTTCAAGAATGCGAATAACGAACCCAACAGTGGAGTGATACCACAATATGAGTATCACTCACACAAGTCACAGTGCAAATAACTTGATTGTTGTTTTCTTTAATGGGAGAGAGTCAATATGGGAAAAACAAACGTTTTTTCATTATTCCATATCCCATATATCATATCAGATATATAAGATAAATATATCATTTATCCATATCAGTTGATATGATAGATATAGATATCATGAGTGGTTATCCAAATAAGTTTTGAATTCTAATTTAAACTTACATGGATAAGGTTCATGGGTCATGCCACATGGGCGCCCAATTTCTAACATCTCCCACTCGCACATGAGTTGGCATGACGCTGCCACATCTCTATCTCAATCTCCCTAAAAATGAACAATATCATACTAGCTAATGCACTGTGCGACCGCTGAGAACACCTGCATGTGGGAGCTCTATAGTAGAAACTCAATATGAGTCAGCATAAAGACATTAACCCAAAATGAACAGAAATAGTGTCTCATGTACCCAGACCCATCTAGTTACATCGGTTCAAAAACATCTCTAATCCCTCAAAGAGCATGTTTGACTCTCTTAGGTCCCGCATTATATTCACACCTAATCAGCATCCCATAGAGAGCAATGTGAGTTGTCGACAGTGAATATAGAGCAGAGATATAAAACTAGATGATCTTCCCTACTCTCATATCATTTAATTTGAAATTGACCGCTTTCCCAGTAACGTCCCTTAAAGCCGAATCACACATGACCGCAGGCAACATACCAAAGTAGCTGAACATCAACTCCTCATCTTATGACATAGTCAAAGGTCACAAAAGGCACAAAGTGAAGTCATTTAGGGAAAATGACTTTTAGGACTCACACGGTGAAGAAGCAAGGATCCATTCTTTCACCTCGCTAACGGGTCGATAAGCACATGCAGTATGAATGCATGTTATAGTGGAGTAACTATTCCAAAGAGTGATGTTAAACTCACACACCATACAGATCTTAGTCTAGTCGCTCTTAAGCGCACAAGTCGCTTCCTAGCGTCTAACTCGAATTCTCTATTTGCTCGCCTCTTAGGCATCAAATGAGATCTCGCATCTGGCTATCCATAACAGGCACATCAAGGAAAAATGGGTACTCTCATATC